TTATTTAAATTTGTACTTTTGTTATTTTTTTAGAATTGTTTTTATTTCATTCAGTTGTTGGGTTTCCACAGGTGTACAGGTGTAACTGTTTTTCCTATTTATTGTTGATTGCATTAAAAAAAGGCCTCCCTGATGCTACAGATCAGTTCTGATGAAGGCTTCATTATGAAATGCCTCAGCAGGTTTATCAGTCAGTTAAATTAAATCATCAATGAAGATCAAGACATAAGGTGACTTTTTCCCATAACAACTGGAGTTCCTAAGTATCTCTTGGGAAAACAGAGACTAATAAATAGGCTACCTCAAAAATACACTGGATTTTCATACTTTTTTTGTGACGTGTCAATGCAATACTCTTTATTTCTTAATTTAAGGGTCAAAGGTCATAAATGTTAACCACAACATTTTTGGGGGCGTTTCACATGACCTCACAGGCCTATGTTTCCATTGACCTCTCAGTGGCCCTGCTGTATTGTCTTGAGGCGGGGAAGCAGAGCATCACAGTATGAACCCACACAGCTAACGAAGGAGCACCAACACAGTCAGTCAATGACTTGTTTTAAGATCACTAAGCCCTTCAGGCCAATTTGTGGTTGATTGCAGGTTTGTGTTTACAGTCACTGATATTTACTGAAATGTCTTTCACGGTTACCTCATCGCCACTGCGGAGCTTGGTTTTGTTCAGTCTAGTGGAGGAGCTGAGGTAAGAGACAGAGCTGCTTTGTACTATCTGATCAGATTAAGGCATGAGACAGCCCAAGGCACAAGGGCAGTGACAAGTAGTATTACAGCAGTTAATTAAAGTCAGACCAAGAGGAGATTTAATTAGACCTTTATTTTTATCTGGAGTGGTGACTTTTGCAAAGATATACTGTATATTACATTTTTGTGTCATTTGTGTGTTATGACTCCTATTTAAAACCACTGAGTTGCTGTAAGTACAGTAGAAGATACTATGTAGGAATATGTTGATCAATTTTTGCACAATTGTATACATCTTTACCATTTCTTACACACAAATGTGAATAGATTGTATAATATATTTTGAAAAGACACATTTGTGCTGTGGGTGGGAACTGAGTGATGCTTTTATAAAACTGAACACCAGTGGGTTTTGTTTATGGCTCTGCTCTTCTTCTGTTTATTGATATTGTTTGGTCATGATCCCTTCCCTAAGGATGACACTGGAGACCAGCTGCTATGGCTTGTTACACTACAAAACCACATTTACCACAATATAGAGTAGATGCTATGCACAGAGACTGGACACAATTTATTTTTTTACTTTGTTATTTCTAAAGAAGCTTTAAGGAAAGTGTGTTATTGTCCCAAAGCTTTTAAAACACATCTTATTATATAAGGTAACTTACATCAATCAGGTATTCTCTATACGAAGAATCCATTTATTTTAAAATATTTTTTTTTAACTTTACCTGTTTTACAGTGCTGTTCACCTGTACCTTACCATGTGCTGCTTCCAATGCTGTTGACCATGTAGCTTGTGTGTGTGTGTGTGT